TTCCCCTTGGCCGTTATCTGTTTTGCTTTTTAACCCTTTCACCAGAAGTCCAATCCTTCTACCTAGTCTCCCTTTGAAACACTCCAACAAAAAGGCATGGATTAGCTTAGCCTGGTACCAGGCATGGCAGGGCTCTCCCTATGAAACTCTGCATGTGAAAATATTCTCATTACAGGCTCCATCCCCTGGAGGTGAAAATTCCTCTGTTAACAAAGGACCTGTGAGCCTCCCCAAGGTGCAGGAACCCCAGGGGAAAAACACGTCTCTCACTGTCTCCCCCTACAAAGCTGGTCCAAGAGGATCTGTCCAATACCTTCCCGACTTGGACAGTGAAAAGCCCAACAATTCCCAGGAAAAGGACCCTCATGAGGCCTTCCCGGTGCAGTTGGATCTAACCACAAACCCCGGGGGAGAAACCCTGGATGTCTCCTTCCTCTTCCTGAGGCCAGTGGAGGAGAAGCTGGTTGTCCTGCCTTTCCCCAGAGAAGAACAACGCTCTGCCGAGTGCCCAGGACCAGCCCAGCAGGCCAGTGCTCTTGTCCTCCCACCATGAGAGTCACACAGAGGGTGCCATGGGAGTGTGGTGCCCTGCACAAGATGACAGGTGGTCGGGACAGAGACGGGGAGTCCAAATGTGCAGAGTGGCTAATGAGGGTCGTCTTTTTCACTCTTCTGGGTCTCAGCATGTTGGCTGGGAATGGAAATAAAGAGCCTCAACCCTTCACGTGGGCTGCACTCTACACTGTGCACCGCACTGTACCCGGGACTGTGTCCCCTCTAAACTGACCCCCGTCTCATGCCATGGAGAGATGCACCTCTTGTGTGTTTAACCACTCACTTACAAAGACTTTTATCCTTTCAACAGTATGTGTGTGTGTCTATATATATGTGTGTGTGCTCAAATCTCAGTACTAGGCATTCCATGAGGAAAGATACTTTCCCTAATACCAAGAGATATGAGGACCTGAGACCCAGCATGGATCACTGTCTGCATTCCCTTTAGTTACATACCAGGTATTAGCTGGGGATTGCCCACACCATCGCCAGCCCACTACCCCTTTGCATCTGTCTAAACGGCTCTGGGTCTCAGCAGTGGGCAACTCTCTTAGAGGTGGGGCACAGGGAAGGGTAGTGTGCCTGTGGCCTGTGCTGGGCACTATAGGGGCACCAGACTACAGCAGTTCTCAGTGCTACATTGATCATTGTCACAATTTCTCTCAGGACAGACAGTAGAGGTCCCATTATGACAGTGTATCATAGTCTTCTCTGTAAGACAAATTTCCCCTCAATTAGAAATATGCATGTGTTTACACACACATGCACACACACACGCACACATACACATACACATACACAAACATACACATCAAATAGTACTTTTGACATTTGGACAGAGAATTTGCAAATATAGCTGGCACTTGTTCCTGGAAGAGGCCTTGGCGTACTTTGCACAAGAGCAGTAGACGGTACTCACACTCCACTCTTAACTGCTTCCCACGGAAAGGGAAAATAATTACGTGGGGGTGTCATGTAGAGGTCTTACACCCTGTTTCAGTCGGGGTCTGGAAAGAAGCACAATTGTACTCAGATGGCTCCAGTGAAAAGGTTTTGGAGAAGGGACCTTTCCTGAAGCCTTGTGGGCCAGGCCAAGGGAATGACAAGGGATGCTGAGGCACCTGGACAATAGTGACAGCAGGCAGCCTTCACCAGCCAGGCTGAGCAGAAGGAGGGGTGGCCTCCCCAGCCCACAGTGAGCTGCCGCTGTGGAGGAGGAGCTGCCTGAGGGGCTGCTCTAGGGAAGGAGTGTCCTGAGGGAGGGAGCACCCTGCCCTCTCCTCCCCTCCTGCCTCCTTCCAATATCCTCCTCCCATCGGCTCTTTGAAGCCCATAGTAAACTAGCCAGAAGGGCAGCCTGGATTGTTCAACCCCTGCAATCAGCCCGGGAGATAGGGCCTAGCAGAGAAGGCCCAAGGATGGACCTGGGGCAAAGAGACAAACCATTACAATCCCCAAGTGGAATTTCCCCAAAGAAGGGCTACACCACCCTTCTGTACTGAAAAACAGTAGGGAAGGACCTTGACTTTGTGTCTTTCTCTGTGTGTCCTCTGCTGGGTGGACAAGGGCACCATCCACAGAGATAGAGCATGCAGGAGGAGAAGAGGGTTTAACTGGGGAGTTGCTGAGTTGACTTTTGGGTGTGGGGAACTTGAAGGGCCTTTGGACCTCCTGGTGGAGATGCCTGTGCACATGTCTCTTACTAAGAAGAGAGAAATCTGGGTTGGGACATGGTATCTAGGACTATGACAGCAGAAGGGTTATCAAAAGAGGGCATGGAATGTGGGAGAGTCTGGTCACTTGTTGTGATTTAGCAAGTCAGAAACAGCCGTAGGTTACCTCTGTCCTTTCATGGCTAAATTCTTGAAAAGCGATTTGTTCCCATGCGTGTCATTTCCTCACCAGCTTTGCATTCCTCAACCCACTGTAATGGGTGTTTAACTCTTTTCCCACAACTTACCAGTTTGGCATGCCCTAAGGACCTTCCCGTTCTAAATTCAAAGGAAGCAGTCCTGTCCACACTTACCCTCTTTGAAGCATCTGGCAATGCTGAGCCTCCCTTCCTTCACTTTTCCTCCAGTGATCTCTGCCACACACTCTGGGGTCTCAGGCTACCTCTCAGCCCATTCTCCTTCAGATTTCTTCTCGGTTTTCTCTTCCTCAGTAGCCATCAAGGAAATGCAAATTAAAATCACAATGAGCTATCACTACTACTATTAGAGTTGCTAAAATAAAAAATAGTGATAATACCAAATGCTGACGAGGATGCTGAGAAGCAAGAGCACTCATTCATCCATTGCTGATGGCAATGCAAAATGGCACAGCCACTCTGGAAAATAACTTGGCAGTTTCTTATAAAAAGAAACATGCACTTACCACATGACCCAGCAATAGTATTCTTGGACATTTATCCCAGACAAATGAAAACTTATGTTTTACATAAGTTTTACATAAGTTAAACATAAACTTATGTTTATACAAAGACATATAAACAATGTTCATTGCAGCTTTATTCATAATAGTCTAAAACTGGAAACAACACAGATGCCCTTCAACAGGTGCGTGGTTAAACAAACTGTGGTGCATTATTGCCATACAATACCATTGCCACACAAGCAATGCAAAGGAATAAACTGTTAAGACATGCAACAGCTATTGATAGAATGGCCCCAACAGGAACTCAATGAATACTCACTCCCAGGTTCCCACATGCATCTAAGCACCAGCCCAGGCTTCATGCCTCCAGGAAGCCTCTCACCACCAGTCTCTGTGACATCAAATGTCTGGACCCCACACAAGGGGCCCAAGGTCAAGAACCCACAGGCCAGATGCAGAAGGGATGTGGGAAGTCCAAATCCAGTAGCTTGGCCTCAGGCCAACCCTAAGCTGATAGATCCTACAATTCCATTATTACGAACTGGCTGTAATAACTCAGATTATATTAGTGCCACATCTGTGATTTTAAGCATTAATATTTCATAAGTAAGCATCCTCAATGCAAGCTTCCAAAGTAAGCTTCTTAGAACACTAGACAGGTTCCAAAGGCAGAATACCAGCTCACCATCATTCTGCCTCTCCAAGCCCCTCACCATCCCAGCCCCTATCCCTGAGCCATCTCCCTGAAAGGACATCACGAACACTGAATCTGTCTCCAAGACTGCATAAAACAAGAGGACACATGACCTCAATGGGTATCCATGTAGCAGAGCAGAGCCGTAGGAAAAGCCTGTGCTCATGCTGGTGCCCCCTCCCACAGCCTCAGCATTTCCCTCATGTCAGCCTGGGCTCAGGCCCCAGCCCTGGCTGCCCAAGACAGACCCGTGGCACCCTGTGAACAGCTTGGACCTGCCAGTGGTTCACAGTTCATACAGCAGGAATCTAAAGGCTTAATTGACAATCACAACTCATTGAAAGGAGGAATAGGGTTTTTGTTTTGAGCCAATAGCTTTCCCCCATTCCCATTTGGTACAAATCCCTTATCAACATTTTGGCCAGATTTCATATTATTCCATTCATCATATTTAAGTTGAATTGAGAATTGGAGCACATGTGGACATTTTAGAAACACTAAGGGTCTTCCTAATCAATGCTTCACTGTGACAAGCCACAACTTACACCTGGATTTCTGTTGGGACTGAATGAAAATGTCTTTCAATCTCTTTTGAATAGCTCCACGGGGAGTCAAAATCTTCAGTACCTCTGAACAATTTCCCAGATAACTTTATTGGCACAGCATTTAAAAATTATATTTAAACACATTTTTACTGTATTTTATGGGTCATTAATATGTATTAGTAAGAGAAAATCATTCTTGTGGTCAAATAGACATGTGAAATGGAGGGGGAAGCAGGTTTTCTTTTCAGAGCTCCTGAGAACCTTTAATACGTTGGTGTACTGTGACTCTGCAAGCAGGGTATAAACAGAGCAGTTCCTACACAGGTTTGATACCAGAAGACTTGGGGATGGGTGGGAGGGTAGGGAGAGTGGAGAGCATCTCCTGAGACTAGAGTTCCATGGAATATCTTATGTGACGTATTAGACTAAAGGTTTCACTCCAGTCTTGGGTTCTCTCTCATGAGACACTGCATCTGATAAATGCCGTGAGTTTTACCTTGTTCGTTCAGCCCCCATCAGTAGAACTTTCTTTGATCCAAACAAGCTGAAAGCGAAAGGCAGGAGTCCTAACCAGTGTGCCCCTGGCGCTCCAGCCCATCCACCCATCATTGTTCTCTTCAGAAAACAGAAGGTTGAGTTTTAGTCTCTTAAACAGTTTGCTTCCACACAGGAAAGTAGATTTGCAGCTTGATTGTAGAACTTCTATGTCTCATTAAATATTTCTTTAAAAATACATTTCTTTTAAAAATAACCTAACTGAGACTAAATAGAACGCTTTCTACCCACATGGTCAAAGTACTGAAGGAGTCATACCTGTGCTTCTGTGAGGTGACTGAGAAGCCACCTTCCTGATCTAACAAGAGCATGAAATGCACAAGGTCAAACTGGAAGTGTGAACTCACCAAGTACCACTGGGACCCAGGGCCTTGTGCTCCTGCCTGAGATAACTACTGTATTAGTGTGGCCAAGGAGATCTCTGCAGGGAATCTGCTAGTGGAGATGCAGAGATGACAATCCTCCATGTTCTGATTCAGGAGGGGACCCGGACACAAACCAGAATCCAATCATCAGAGCCTTGACCAAATGTTTATTATGATTTCTTGGGAAAAGGTTGGGAAACAAATTTGTTTACATGCACTCATGAATATGGCGTTGCTCAGGGGTCTAAGGTTACAAACACTGGCAAATCTACCCAAAGTACTGACTCAGGGAAATCCATGTTTAGAATTCAACATGATAAGATGGGACAGAGGGTTTCAACTCTGGATACCCTGTTCAGCCATTCAGATTTCAATTGCAAAACTCACCTGAAGCCTACCTTAAAGAGCCCCACGAGCTGGGCAGTCCCTGCAGCTCCACACACTGACCCATCCTGGGCCTTGTTCCCCACAGAATGGGCCTGCTCCTACCCCTGGGGCTCTGCACCCTGGCCCTGTGCTGTGGGGCTGTGTCTCTGCCCCAGCAGGCCCTGGGCCCCTCGCCTCTGCTCTCCCGGGGCTGCAATGACTCAGGTGTGCTGGCAGTCACGGGCTTTGCCCTGCAGGACATCAACAGAGACAGAAAGGATGGCTATGTGCTGAGCCTCAACCGAGTGCACAATGCCTGGGAACACAGACAGGCAAGTGACTGTCCCCTCTGGGGCAAGCATTTGGACAAGCTGCAGAGACTGGCCGGGGTGAGAAGGAAACCCAGAGACACATGTTGGCAGGTGCTTTCCAAATTGGAAAGCTTGCTGAGGACACCCTGCTCTCCTCTGCCAGCCCGTGCTGCAATGCTCTTACTGGTATTAGGAACAAGTGCTAACCATGATCCCACTCTGACACTTGTCCAGACTTCAGTGGTTTATAGGGCGTGTTCACCATCGTCCTTTGGCTCTCCCATAAAGCAGAGACTTCTTTGTGCGTCTTTATGTGTTTCTGCTTCCTGTGGGATGTGGTGTATTTTTCTACCCCTTTCCACAGGATGACCTGGGGTCTCTGTTCTATCTCACACTGGATGTGTTAGAGACTGACTGCCATGTGCTCAGCAAGAAGGCATGGAGGGACTGTAGGGTGAGGAGCTTGCATGGATTGGTGAGTGCTTGTTTTCATAAACTGGTAAGGGCTCTGGGAAAGCAACCAGGTGCCTTCTTTCTGCAGGGGGAGATTGCTCAAGGTCTGCCATCTTTTACAAGTCCCTCTTTATAGTGTCCTGGCAGGTGCCCATGTCCTTATTCTAAGGCTTGTGGACAGAACAAAGTTTTACACAATAGATGTGTTTCCAGAAGTATCAATATGTGGTCAGGGAGACCAGAATTGCAAAGTTACCAAAAATTCTATAGGGAATACATATAGCTTTTATGCTTCCAAGATCCTCTGTTGGCTTACACCAGTGTTTTAATTGTGGGAAAGGAATCAGAGCTCCAGATGTGTGTTTAAGGTAGACTGCAGAAGCAACAGAGGGAGAGCTTTTTTGGTATGTTTTGTTTTCTTTTAATGAGGCTTGAGAGAATAAGCAACAATATGGGAGCTCAAAAGTGTGTCATGTAAAGAGAAATACCTTCCTTAAATTATAGAACCTAAAGGGCCTCAGAAATGATCCTTTCAAGCTGACTATAGAAGATGCTTGAAAATCATTTTGTCAATTTTCATTTTTGATTTTCGGTTATTCTGGGAATACTTTCATTGGCTGATGTGAAACTTTGTGAATCCAGTAGAGTGAATGATATACATGTTTAGAAGTAAACTGGACCAAGATATATTTTTTAAATCATTTCCTCAAATTTGTAAAACTACACCTAACTGATTTTGAAAAGCACATAGTCTGTTTACCCTGTTGTAAATTATATTTGTAAACATAACACTAGCTGCTATAAGAAAGACACTAAAAAGTGAATACAGACTCTAACATGACAGAAGTTTAGGTCTCACTCATGTGAAGTTCAAAATGGAAGCTCCTGACTGGGGGCGGGGTGCGTGTGGAGGTCTCCGGGAATGATGTGGAGACCCAGATTCCTTCCACGTTGTGGCTCCAGATGCTGCTGGCTTCAACTGGTGACTTCCATGGTGACCATGCTCATCTTCATCAAGCTATGGAAACAGAAAGAGCTTAGAGAATAGTAAGAACTTGGAAGATCTTTATGGGCCAGACCTGGAAGTGGTGACACGTCATGTCTGCTCACGTTCCCGTGGTTAGAACACAGTTACACACAGTCACAGCATCTGTGAGGGAGGCTGGGAAATGTAGGTGTTAGGTGTTCGGTGTTTGGGACTGAAAGGTAATAAGATATGGCAGTAATGAAATCCAGTCATCTATGACAGTCAGTTACAGGGTCAATGATGAGATATTGAACCAGTTGGGAGGGAAGATCCTATTCAATATACTCTATTATGTGTCTTTGAACAACATTCTCAGAATAAATAAATGTGTGTTATGTGAAAACTATCTTGCTTTTCTTTCTGTTTAAATTATGAAAGTAACACATGCTCATTACAGAACACTCACTACCAACAGTTCACTTCCTTTCCAAAAAATGTCTTCCTCACCCCATCCTTGCCAACACTGAATGTTATCTTTTTTCCCCATCTTTGCCTCAGCATGCTCATATGACTTATAGGATTGAAAATCAATAATTTTTAAATGAGTCTCATTGACATTAACAGTTTCTCATGAAAAGATTCTTAGTATGTGCCCAGACTGCCCAGGCCTCAGACCCACTGATTGTTCCGATCCCAGTGTTTTGGAAGCTGCTACAGAGTTTCTTTCAAAATACAACAATGAGAACACCTCGAAGCAGTATTTTCTCCTCAAAGTCACAAGGGCTTCTAGCCACATAAGACTAAAATGCACAAGCCAGTTAGACAAACAGTGTCTCTCATAACCATTGCTATAGATTCCTAAGCTGAGAGAATGTCAAGGCACTCCCTTTGATTAGAACCCAAGAGCCTTTCTCTACCTTCCCTACTTTGGTAGACCTGATGCACATTCAGTCATGTTTCAGTTTCTGAGTTATTCTGTGACATTTCTATAAGAGCAAGGGGACTCCATTTTACTTCCTCAACCTTAGGGCAGGAAGAGAAACGGACTCCCAGTCTCCTTGCAGGATTCTTTGCAAATTCACTGTTTCTGCTACATGGTCATAGACCACTTAGCCGGACAACTTTTACTCCATGTTAAGGCCTGGAGTGGATGTTGAGTTTTATGGATAAGGGAAAATGGGGGCTCATTTGGATTACATTGGTATCTCTTTCATATGGAGAAAAAGCAATATATAAAAAAAACAATTCTACGTTAGGAAAAAAAAACTCAATAAGGAAGGAGTTTAGGACCCACTCAAATCCTTAAGTAGAAAGGTTTGGTGGTTATATTTCCTAAATTACAAAGTCCTAATACATGGTCTGACCATGACAGGGATTTACAGGGCAACCGGATACATGTGTTGGCAATGACTCTGACGATATGTGGTTTCTGTTGTCCCCACATGGAAAGATTTGTTTTTATTTCTCAACTCTTGTTTCATACCAGTAGGTTTCTAGCCCTGTCTCCTCTGTGGTATATTTAAAGAGTCACCATTTACCATATCCCAGGCTAGATCTGCTGCCAGCAACTGCCTGCATCAGCCCCTCTACTCTCATGTAATTGTTCCTGAATGTCTTCACATGTCTGAGCAATGTGTTACAGATCATCTGTTAATACTTGTTGATTGTACAACATTCCAGGTGTTGTACATCTTCCTCAAGAAGCCTGCAGTGTGATTGGCATGAGTCAGGCCCAGGTGCAATGCTATGGACAATCTCTGTGGTATTTTCTAAAGGCCAAAATACATGGTATCATAGTAACCAATAATACAAGGTTATGAGCGGAGATAATCTGTGTTGGTCAGGGCATAAAAGGTGGCTCTTCACCTGGACCTCAAAGGAAGGCTAGGTGTCAGAAAGAGGAGGGCAATTTAGGATGCAGAAAGAGTGTGAACAGAGGAAGGAAGGCACTGTGCATTTTGGTAGGATTACGACAATGGCACACCTGCTAAAGAGGATGTGGCATGCAAAAGAGCAAGGTGCCTCTACACCGCTGTCTTAAGAAGTTGTCTTAGGCTGGGTGCAGTGGCTCATGCCTGTAATCCCAGCACTTTGGGAAGCTGAGGCAGGAGGATCACTTGAGGATAGGAGTTGGAGGTTACGGTGAGCCACGTTTGGGCCAGTGCACTGCAGCCTGGACAACAGAGCAAGACCCTGTCTCTAAAATAAATAAATAAATAAATAAAAGAAATTGGCCAATGGCATGTGACCTTATGACTGAAAGGCAGGAGGGGAAGAGACTGACACTTCAAAGTTTGGTCTGATTAGAGGGTTCAGCAGGGGATGCAATGTGAGGGTGCACCAGGTAAGACAGATAAGTTCAAGTTCAGACTGAATCTGTTGCCCAAGTATGAAAAGGGGAAGATAGTGGTAGGATGTGTAACACTTGACTTTATATAACTCTAATCAATTTTGAGCCTAAATCAATTTCCATCTGCAATGTGATACAGTTGCAAAAATGTAGTCGTAGGAGGCAGTAAAAGTAAAGAGAGTATTTACGCAATGCCTTGCTTTGATCTGAGCAGATAGGGTTATACCTGCAGTACAGCATGTTGTCCCATTCCATGAGACCCCCTTAGAAGAGGACAAAGTCAAATTGGCATTCATTTATAGGAATGTACCCCAGATGGGGAGAGGACCTGGACACTATCTGGAACATTCTTGGAGGTATAAATTGGTACAAGCTTTTGGCAGGCAATTGGACGATACACACGAAAATCCTTACAAAACTGATTTATTGCATATTCTGACCTCATTCTGGGGATCATGAAAAAACAACCTCCAAACCTGCTCTATGGGATCTTCCTTCCCCATTTCCTTTTTTCTTTTCTTTTTTTTTGCTACAGGGTCTTGCTCTGTAGCCCCAAGTAGAGTGCAATGGTGTTATCACAGCTCAACTCCTGGGCTTAAGCAAGCCTCTTGCCTCAGCTTCCTGAACAGCTGGGACTACAGGTGCATTATTTTTAGTAGAGACAGGGTATCACTCTTGCTCAGGCTGGTCTTGAACTCCTGAGCTCAAGCGATCCTCCCGCCTTGGCCTCCCAGAGTGCTAGGATTACAGGTGTGAACCACTGGGCCCAGCACCCCTTCCCCACTTCTTAATAACCTCTTGATCATATCTCGTAGCTTCCCAGTCACTTTCACCCGTGAGAACAGCGTTAGTTAAGCAACTGAGATTCCTGTTTAGGTATTAAGAAGTTTAGTCAAGTCTAAACTTGAACATCTATCTCACACACAATTCACAAGTGCTCTCACTGCAGCATAAAGTTGGCCTATGACTCAGGTTCCACTATGGGGAAGGTGTCAAGGTTTGTTTTTTCCTTTTTTCTCCCCTTCCTGCTCTCTAACCAAAATCTCTCTTGCTGTAACTTTGGTTCCTCTAGGTTCATGTGGAGGAGATGAGATTAGAAGAAAGGGTCCCAAGTCTTTTTTACATACCTGGTCCTGCTGTAGTCACTCTCTCTTGGTCAACACTGGCATCTCATTGATGCCTTCTATATGACAGTCTCCAGTGCTGGCTCTCTAATGCGGCACAGGTGTGGGTCCTTCAGGAAGTCCTTCCCTAGCCTATTGGCCCACCACCACACATCCCCTCAGCTCCTATCCTCAAAAGCCCTTAAGTGCACCCTGGATTGGCCGGCTGCCCCTTGGACCCAGGACACTGGCCTTACAGAACTCTCGCACATCCTTGTTATTCTAAACGGTGAGAACAGACTGCCCCACTTCTGCCCTTTCTCCTCATCCTGCCACCCTGGTGACTCCCCTTCAGAATTCTCTGAGAAACAGACAATGCATCAGTTTCCATGTGTGGGGACACACGTGAAACTCACCCACAACCTGTCTCGCTGGCCTTGGTTCTGGTGTCAGTACTGGGTGGGCCTGCCAGCTTCAGCAGCTAATAAGCACCATCCATGGAGGGAGTGGCCATGCTCTACTCTTTGCCCGTTATTGAAAACTTGTTTCTTCCACTTTTAGCACTTCTGAACCCAATCTGTGACTCTTGGAGGTAAGGTCTACTTTTCATATACCTCATCCCTTATCTATCTGTCTTCAAATTCTTTCCCTCCCTTCAGTTCTGTCTAGAGACCCAGTAGTTCTCAACCTTGACTATACACATTGGAATTACCTAGAGTTTTAAAACTACCAATACCTGGGTCCACCCCCAAAGATTCTGATCGAATTGTGCTGGAGGGAGTCCTAGACATCAGGATTTTTTAAAGCTTCTCGGGTGATTCTAATATGAAGCCAAGGCTGAGAACCATTGCTGCAGACCCTCACGGACACCACTTTAGAGAAAAGGCAAGGAGGAAGGGAGATGCTGCCTAAGAGAATGGCTGTTTTTTGGCAGTGAGGAGGGAACCTAGGCTGATTCCCTCTGGTCCATTCTGATGCCGCTGGTATGAAGGTTCCATGTAGGTATACTGGTTTCTTCAGAGGGCTGAGGGTAGGGGGTCAGCTGTATCCCAGCTCTGTCCCCCAGCGCTGAGCCCCCCTCAGTGGGATGGGCATCCCATTGTTTGGCGCCTGGTCTCACCACCATCCTCTTCCACATGAGCCAATGCTTTTTGACATGCTTTAAGGGCCACCGAGAACTGGGATGCATGGTCCCCAATTTATTCCCAGGCACACTAATAGTAATAATAATGATAATAATAAATAACACCATTCATTCAGCACCTATTATGTGCCAAGAATTATATTGGTTGCTTTATATTGGTTGTTGTCTTATTTAATTATCGCATGAGCCTGCCAAGAGATATTAATCTCTGTTTTATAAATGAGAAAACTAAGAATCAGAGAAGTTTTGTTGCTTACCCAGCATCACACAGTAAGAAGTACCAGAGCCAGGGTTGGAAATTAGGGTCTGACTCCAAAGCAACAACCTCTTAATCATTCTGTTTTACCTGAAGTCAGTTCCTTTTATAATGCTAATTGTTTAACATGTTACCTCCCTTAGATAACACAGTTGTATTCCACCGAGGAGTTTTAGTGCCAAAATCCAAAGAGGAGACTGATGGTGGAGATTTCCAGCCAAGGCAGATGGGCAGATGGAGGAACATTACCTCCAACCCCATCCCCCACACCAACATAGGCAGTTCTTATGGTCAGAGACACACTTTGGATCTGCTACCTGCTAAACATATCCTGATATGTGCAGATCACTGTTTCACCCACTCACCAGCTGCATTTCTCAACTTTCCGTCCCCAGGATCCACTAATCATTTACAGCCTGTTGACGGATATTTGAACCAGGGGTCAAGGTGAACGTCCCCAGTTACACAACAAAAATGTACAAAGATTTTGTTTAATCAATCGTGTGTGTGTTTGTGTGTGTGTGTGTGTGTGTTTCAGAACATCTATATAAAATTCTATGGAGTAGACCATAGCAAGGGACAGTTTACCAAAATGAAGGCACTCACTGCAGTGCTGCTTTTGGTGACACTGCAGTACTCATGTGCTGTGAGTCCCACGGACTGTAATGCCGCTGAGCCAGAGGCGGAGAAAGCTCTAGACCTGATCAATAAATGGCGACGGGATGGCTACCTTTTCCAGTTGCTGCGCGTCGCTGATGCCCACCTGGACGCAGTGGTGAGGAACCATTGATGGCAGAGCTGAGCTGGGTGACCGTGCACCAGGGGCAGATGTGACTCTACCCTCTAGGTCTACTGCTTTGCACAGCGAATGGCTTTGCTCAGGGTTTTCTGTTTAGTTTCTGTGGCTGCTCTAGATTGTTCTTCGTTACTTCAAACTAATGTTTATTATGAGTATGACCTTAACTAAGAATCAATCTGTAAGTACTTAGAAGCACGTAGCTGACCCCGGTTAAATATTAAGTACTACTAGAGAAAAATTAGAATAAACTGTGGGCCTTGCCTTCACGGAAATAATAGTCTGCTGACACATAAAGGCAAACTCTGTAAGATGGGATAAACTGAGCGGGGAGGAAGAGTTTTCTCAACATTCCTAGGGTTCCTGAGTCTGAAATAAAACTAACAAGGACATATTAACAGGAGAAAACATAAAAACTTATTTAATCAAAGTTTTACTCAACATGAGCACCTTCAGAAATGAAGATGCACACACCCAGGGAAAGTTGTCGTTTGTATGCTTAAATTCAATGACAAAACAACAGCTGTGTAGAGATGTGACCGGACAATAGGATATGATACAATGGTAACAGAAGGGAGGAAACGCAGCAAGACCTGTCTTCAGATTATTCTTGGCCTCTCTGTGTAGAATTCATTTTTCCCAAGTATGGGGCAGGACCCTTCTAGAATGCAGGTCTTATTAACTACTAGCGGACAGACAAGGTCAGAGAATTTCTTTTTGGCAGCTCCTTCACAGAAACGCCTGGGGGGAAGGGTATACTCATTTTTCTAGATTTGATGACTGCTTTGGGGGAGAGGGATTCTAGTTTCTATGACCCACCTGGGAAAGTGGAATTGTAGTTTCTATGGCTTGCCTTGGGGAGAAAGGGGAGCAGGAGAAAGGAGGGTGAGTGAAGGGCAGATAGATCTTGCTCTCGAGGCCCTTTCAGTTCTTTCCCTTCACAGCACTCAGCATGCCCAGGCCCCATACTTTGGAGGATCATGTTCTGAGCCCCAACAATATGCAAGAGACCAAGTGAGCAGTAAGGACATCGAAGCAATGCAATCAAAGAAGATTTGTTAAGATCAGATGGGAGAAAGCTTTGGTTTGATCTTTAATAATGGGTAGGATTTGAATAGCAAGAGGGCCTGGGTAGAGGCATTCCAGGTGAATTCCAGGCACACCACTCTAGTCTAGGTGGGGAGGAGTCAGGAAGAAGTGTGTTAGGAGTAATGGAACATAAGCAGCAGGGGTTCCAGCAGTTCTATGTGGGCCCTGGGGTAGCCATCAGGTTGGAAGGGAGACTGTGAGCTTATCTTGAAGCCAAGCAAGCCTACTGTCTTCACTTAGATTATAAGCTTATCTGGACTAGATTTGAGGGTCAGAGTTAAAGCCTCCCTCCCCTCCCCCAAAAGAACTTACCCCCTACCCCCATGGGTGGGACAGCTGAAATCAGGGAGGCCAGACTATGGAGTACTATGGAGAATAAGCAGAGCAACTGACCCTTGTTCGGGTATGAGAGAGGGAGGCATTGCAGGTTGCAGAGAACAGGAGCACAGGCATTTGGGATGCAACCAATAATTCAGTGACCATCAGTCCCATCCCAGCCTCTTGCCACATGAGCAGAACACGGGATGCGTTGGCACAGTGCCTCTCTGAGTGGTAATATAGAGAGTGGGTGGGTGGCATGCTCCACGATTTACATTTTTTAAGCCAGAGTCTAAGGCGATAAGTATTTGATGGTGTCACTGATAAACACAAGGGAAATTGAGAGAGGTAGCTGGTTTGTAAGAGAAGAAAGTGGATTATCAGTTCCAGCAAATGGAAATGGAGACAGAAATCCAAGTTCAAGAATCAAACTGAGTGCTAGGATGAAGCTGCAAGTACAGACTGGAGGCCTTGATGTGGCTGTCATCACTTGTAATTCTAGCCATGTACTTTCAACACCTCCACTCAAATCAGCACTACCATTTACCAATAGCTTTTCAAAGCTTGTGGATAGAAGAAACAGCATGGCCACTTACAAACAATATTTGGAAATAACTGTTTGAAGGTATTTATTCAAATGAACATATCAAACATCATAAAAGTAGGACAACAGCAAAGATGGGGAGATGGACAGGAACTGGTGTTTAGGAAATAAAGATACAGCTTTCATTAAGAAAAACCCTCTGGGCTCCCACGTGTTACTCACCTGCTGCTTTCTTGGCATTCCTCAGGGATCTGCAACTGTCTATTATCTAGTCTTAGATGTGAAAGAAACTGACTGCTCGGTCCTCTCCAGGAAGCACTGGAATGACTGTGAGCCGAATGTTTCTAACTTTCCATCTGATACAGTAAGTACGCCGGGTGCCATTCTCTCTTACCATTCCTCCTTTCCATATACTCCGCTTGCTCAGGGTAGCCACATGCCTGGGCTAACACAGCAGAAGAGTGAGCAGCTTTTGCCTTGAGACTCAGGAAGGTTATGTTGACCTTGAGTCATACTCTTGAGAGCCATTCCTTGGAATCCTGTTCAAGATATGTCAGCAGGGCTTATGGCCCCATGGGATAGCAGGATCAGCTGTGAGGCCTTAGGCCAGTCACCTAATAACATCGCTAAACTTCAGTCTTTTCAACTGCAAAATGAGAGGAGGGTCTTAGGGTCCATGGACCCTAAGGTCCTTTCCAGCCCTGACATTCTATGTGTCTAAGAATCTGTGAACTTGTAATTGGGTCCTATCGAGACTTGTCCTGTGAGCAGGAATGGCCAAAGAGATTAGAGGCAGTGAGGAATGGCTCTTGTTCTGCGCCTTGCACATGCAGGGAGGAATAGGGTCTTGTTCTGTATATTGGACTGCAATGCTATACTCTCTGGTACAGGAGGAGAACACAAAGACAAGTAAGCAACGATACAAGATTTCATTTCCAGAAAACAAGAGGCTCACACAGCTAGGAGTTTTGCCTTCATTTCCCTTGAAGATGTTTGGGATATGGTCACGATCCCTCAAGCAGTTTCTCCCTGGTTATCATGAGGATTTTGGATACCTATTGGCATCCAATAGAGGGCATCTATGTAGCACACAGGAACAGACTAAGAAAATTCAAATTTGAGACAGGGTTTGATGAAGGAAAGCCCAAATACACTTTAAATGTATAGAAGTGCACTGAATCATCTTTTTGTTGTCTCATATGCAACCAGAGGAAGGCAGTATGCAATGACCCAGCAAAACCTCTTTCTTACAGGTGATTGGACAATGCAAGGTAATAGCTACTAGGTATTCGAGTGAATCTCAGGATCTTCGGCTGGTGGACTTTAACTGCACCACAAGTTCTGGTATGGTAATCTGTTAAATTGCTCTTTAATTCTAGGTTAACACAGACTTCAATCACACCGTAGTATTCCTCATGTAATACCATGATATATGTGACGGAAAGGGTCTCTACCCACATAGACTACATTGTATCACTCACTTTCCTGGAAATAGAAGAGAGACAGTTTTCCCCGGTTACTGGTACACCTTTCTTTAAAGAAATTCAATGCACAAAAATAGAGATTTAAAAAAGGCAGTACAGCATCCTTGTAGAGGCATAGGCACTGGGGCAGATTTGTTTTAGTTTGAATCCCAACCTCATCATTTACTAGTTGTATAGTTTTGGGAGCAGGATACTTAAGCTCTTTAAGCTTTTCTCATTTGGCAAAATGAGGATAATAAGAACATTAGCTTTTAGAGCTTTTGTTAGAATTAAATAAGATGGTCTATATAGTACACTGGGCAGAGCATTCTTAGCATTCAGTAAGTATTGACCTCAACATTTAAAAGCTGTGTATTATTTACAAGTTTTCAAAGTACATATTATCTCATTTAATCTCACCACAGGGCTACAAAGTAAAGACTAGGATACCTTCTATATTAGAAATAAAATAATTGAGACGTTTAATGACTTGGCCTTCGGAACACAGCCAGGATGTGGTGAAGACATGACTCAGTTCCAGCAGTGTTGACTCTAAACTCCATGCTCTTTTTATGTACATTTTCAAAATGAATTATCACAGAATTCCTTCAAAAAATAGCAAATCTGAACAAGATTAAATATAAAAAAATTCATCAGCCAAGCAGCTTCTGTAGGAGGTTGCCTTAAAGAAAGGTTGAGCTATGTATCTTCTCTTCTCTTTGGGCCAAACTTTACCTTTGTGATGCCTCTTTGTCCTTGGCAAAGCCAGAAGATTCACAAAAGTGCTGGCACTTTGTGAGGGATAGTGGTGAGGACGTGATGAAGAGGGGTCATGGCAGAGGCTTGGGCATCAGAAGGACCAGAAAGAAGGATCAGCAGTTCGGCTCTGCTGCTGAGGGTCTGACTGATGGTGAACAAGTTACTTAGCTTCCCCAACACTCCATTTGCCCATCTGTAAAATGAAGTTATTGTTATTCTTGTCACCGTTGCCATTTCCCACCCAGTAACCATGACACTCCCATCTTCTTCGTGTAGTCTCTTCAGCATTGGCCAATAACAAAGACAGTCCAGTAGTCTTAGATTTTTTTGAGGACACCGAGCTCTACAGAAATCAAGCCAACCAAGCCCTTGAGAAGTACAAAGAGGAGAATGGTGACTTTGCCTCTTTCAGAGTGGACAGAGTAGAGAGAGTTGCAAGAGCGGTGAGTCTCCACCATGTCCAGCTACGGTCTGAGGGCCCGGGCTCCCACTTGGCGGGCACGAACTGAACGGCACACCCTCTCCACCTGCCTCAAATGACCAGCTGCTTCTAAATTGGGGACCCGTGGCAGCCTTTGGGGCTGTAATAGACAGGCAGCAGGTATCAAAGAACTGCTGTCTGCAAGTTTTTTATTTTTAGAGGGTGTATGAATGGGGGTGGGAGTAGATATGTGACAGAGAGGAGGAAACATCCAAAAAGGAAAGAGGAAAATAAAACAGCATAGTAGGGTTATGTGAGTCATTAAAAATTATCCAGTATTGGCCAGGCTCAGTGACTCTTGCTTGTAACCCTAGCACTTAGGGAAGCCCAGGTGGGAGGATGGCTTGAAACCAGGAATTCAAAACCAGTGTGAGCAAGAAGGAGCAAGAAAATAGAAAATTTAGTTGGGCGTGGTGGTGCACTCCTGTAGTCCCAGCTACTTGGGGGGCTGAGGCAGGAGAATCACTTGAGCCCAGGAGTTTGAGGTTGCAGTGAGCCATGAAGACACCACTGCACTCTAGCCCAGGCAACAGAGCAAGACTCTGTCTCAAAAAGAAAAAAAAATTATCCAATATTAGCGTCCTTGTTTTAGGATGGAAAACTGAGGCTCAGAGAAACTACTCCCCGACACCCAGTGGTGTGGCTGAAGCTAGATGGTTCCCTGCCTCCCTGTCCCAAGGCTCAGGAGCCTCCCCCCCGGAGCTGTCTTGTAAAGCAGCGGGTTGATGTCTGTCATGCATTTTGAAAATGCAAAGTTAAATAGGTGATGGTCCATACAAGCACTGAAATGAATACAATACAGTTACTAAAAGGAATATTTTGGACCCATGTATATTGGAAAGAGTTTTAAGACATATTGCTAAGGGAAAAAGCAGGTTACAGTACAATATTTAAGAATATGAGCCCATTTATATGAAATACTTAGATGTATGTGTATATGTGCATTGTATCTGAGAAAAGGCTATAAAGAGAAACACATGAAACGAATGATAGTGGTACCTCCAAGCAGGAAAAGTTGGGGTGCAGGAAGGGTGAGTTTTCACACTATACTCAGTTGTGTCTGTATTATTGGAATCCTTTCAATGAAGTGGTAGGTTTTCCCTTAGGTGACCAATTTTTAAAAGGCAGAAACCATAAGAAAAATGGCACATATTGGTGATTTTGAATCCTTGTATTGCTTTATTAATACAATTACTGGATAGTAGGTATGTATTGATTTCCCCCCTTTTCCTTTGTTCCTGAAACTGTTTTGATCCCATCTGTTCTAGAGAGGAGGGGAAAGAACCAATTACTATGTGGAATTTTCTGTGAGAAACTGCTCCAGGCACCATTTCCCCAGACACCATAAGGTAAGTACAATACATGTCTGTGAAATGGCAAGTATCATCTAGAGAGTGCTGACTACCCGCTAGGCACTCTTCTAAGTGCTTTACACATATGTTAACTTACTAGCCTTCACACCACCAGATGAGATAGAGACTATTTTTATCCAAAATTTGCAGATGGGGAAACAAAGGCACTGAGAAATTAACTGAATTGTGAGAATATGATTTTATAATGTGCATGATATATATACCTAAATTTAAAACTGAGGGTTTTTTTAACCTGTTAGAATTAAAGGCTTAGCTAAAACAAGCAACGAGGTTGCAGTAAGACCCACACACCAAGTGGTCCATTCATTCCCTCTCATTGACACCCTCAGATCCCATCTGACAAATGAGCAGGTAACTGAAGCTCAGCAAAGAAAGGGTCTTACCCAGGTTCATGACTGAGCTGAAATTAAAATCCAGTTCTTCCCATGCATAGTCCAGTGGGATTTGCCCCCTAATCATTCCCAAATTGATTCCCACGTACTTGCAGGAAGATGTTGTTAATAACACCTGACATTTGCATGGTGACATACAGTTTACAAAACACCTGCACATGTATCATTGTCTAATTGGAACCTCATGACCGTCACGCTGAGAAGGAAAGCAGGTGTCTGCCTCCATTCTTCTGTGACAAGGGAGCCTAGAATTTTAACCATTTACTTAAGGGAACTTAGCTAGAAAGTGTTAGGATACAAAATTTCAATTCTAATTTCAAGCCCAGAATTTTTCTGATTTAACAACATATTCTCCCTGGCCAGAAGGGAAGAAGTACTTGTTAGTTCCTTTTTTGGCTGTTCAAATTTTCAACCCTATTCAGTTCTAGAATCCTGCCTAGTGGCCACCAGAAAAGACACCTCCCTCCCCTATCCCCAATGAACAACTTAACTATCTTTGTGTGAGGAACACAAACCAGTGCAGAACCAGGGGAAAGGGAAAGGAGCAGGCTCAGTGCTAAGTGTTTTACAGCATCATCTCATGTAATTAAAGCCTCCCACAACCTGTGGGTTCACCATATTATCCCCATTTTATAAAGACTGAGCTTCAGAAATTTTGTGTAATTTGACTAAATTCACACAACTAGCATGTGGGGAAGCCAGGATTGACATAGGTCTATCTGATTCCCAAACTGTACTCAGAACCTCAATGCTTAACAATTTCTTCTAGGGAAGAGTCATCCTCTTGTCCTAGTCTAACTTTGACAGTTGGGTCTAGGCACCTCTGGAGGAAGGCAGGTCAGCCGCTGCAGCCCTTGTACGTCGGGTGGAGCCAGCAGACACTTCTCTGGCGGGGTGCATGCAAATCTGTCTGTATATAGGCTCCTTCTTTCCAACACGTCCTTCCAAGGAACCAGTTAAAGTCATAAATCCCTCTTTTGCACCATTCCTCATTCCTCTAGGCACAGGCAAGTCAGGTCTTCTGCAGAAGGGCTGGCCTAAGGGCAAGGCAGCAATGACGTGCTGCTCCTTACCACCAGCCATGGGAAAGCCCAGCACTGGGGACTGCTCAGGGAAGAGAACCACAGCAATTTGAAATGAAGTCCTTTGGAATCTGCACTGCACTTTCCCCAAAGTGTTGACTATGAAAGATTATTGAATAACTGGTGGGAATATCTGATAATATTACCTTGATTTTTCTAAAGCTGTTCTTCCTTTCCTGAATATCTGAAAGTTTACAACTCTGGCTGGGCACCTTCCTACCAACTGCACACACACACACATACACACACACACACACACACACACACAAACAGGCTTCTTTTTCTCTTGCAGGTTTTTGCATTCTGCAAAGCAGTTTCATCCTATGATGTAGAAGACTCTGACTTGGGAACCCCAAAAGACCTTGATGTGAACTGTGAAGTCTTCAACCCTGAGGTGGGTTGCCTAAGTAGACTGTCTTGTGAGCAATGTCAGATTAAGTGATATTTTTACACACATAGTGCATTTGGTTCTTATAGGTGTGTTTGTATGGTGTGGGGGTGTGAGAGAGAGACAGAGACACAGACAGAGACAGAGACAGAGAGATCTGACCCCTGGTGAAAGAAGTGCAATTGCTGGCATGATGCAAAAAGTGTGAAAACTTTTCCAAGAATTAGAGAGGGCTAAGATTTGGCAGAAAAGTAAACTCATGACCAATTCAATTGGCTTTGAATGAATTTGAATATGGTCTTCTAAGGACTCCGGTGCTGAGATTTAGTAATTCCTAGCTTTCACTATTAGGCATAGATCCTAGGGGGAACAAATTAGCCTCAAATTTATTATACAAAGGTATATAAAATAAGATGCAAAACAATATTTTACATCTGTTCCACAAATCTGTGTTCTATTTTGTGGGTGAGCACAAAGATTTTCTTCACAGAATTTTTTATATCTGGAAAAAAATTGAAAATAATTGAAAATAATACAGCCATCCATGTCCCAACTCAAAAACAGAAAGAAAGAAAAAGAAAGGGCAGGTTACTCACAATGAACATGGCTCCACAGATTTTTTAAAAATTAGTGTGAACAAAAGGAGAAGGAAGAGGCCAAGTGATCATCTTTTAGAAGTAAACCAGGTGGATATCATGAACCCTCAGAACTCTTTTGAGAATCAATTGTAAGTCACTCATTTTCCAAATGTTGGTCTGTAGATGGGCACCATTTCAAAATATAGTTTCACCACTTTCTGTTGAAATGAGAACAGTAAGAATAATAAAGTTTTCCATATAGAACATTTATTCCACCCAAAGGACTAATCAATACTCCGAGATTATCTTTCTGACTCTTTTGTTATCAGAATGTTATTTTTTTGTGAAATGATGGTAGTAGATTATAGTTGTTTGTATTTTAAATGTCAACTTTGGTAGATAAAAATTTGAGAATTCCTTTTTTGTTATCCTACTTTTTCTATTGATTTGTGGAATCCAAAAGTCTGGGAGCCATTGATCTACATCAAGTTAAAGATCTAACTTTTCCTTTTGTGTTACATGATGATATTCCCTTTCTGTATCCGTTACCAGGAACACCCCGGCCACCACCCCCACTTTGGTGGACATGGGCCTGGCAAGCCTCCGTTCAAGCCCAATGGAGTTGGAGATCATCATCATCCCCACAAGCCACATGGATGGGGATGCCCACCGCCCCCAGAAGGACAAGATCACCCAGGCAGACCTCCACTTCAAGCAGGAGCGCCCCCTCCAGGGCCAAGATGTCCTCACCACGCTTTTGGCATCAATGAGACCCAAAGGCACCCCCATGATCGTAATTCCAGTGAACACCGTCCGGACAGACAACATCCCCATGGACACCGCCCCCATGGACGCGGACCTCATGGCCATGATTTCCATCCCTATGGACCCTGTGACCCACCAGTCCATAACCAAGGTCCCCAAGATCACCATCGCCGTGGCCATGGCCCACCACCTAGGCCCTCAGAAGAAAAAGGTCCAGGTAAAGGACACTTCCCCTTTCACCGGAGACCAATTGGATATGTTTACCGGCTGCCTCCACTAAATACAGGCGAAGTTCTTCCTCTTCCTGAAGCCAATTTTCCCATCTTCTCATTGCCAAACCAGAGCGATTCACTAAAACCCTTCCCTCAGTCAGCCTCTGAATCATGTCCAGGGACGTTCAAGAATGAGGTTCTACCAATTTCCAAGTTTTTTGCATATACATTTCAAAAATAAAATGTGACTCCCCTGATGGGGAAAAATGAATAATAGTTTGAATTAGAACCATAAATAAAATGTGATCAGAAATAAAAGAAAATTACAGTTCTTTTCACCTTACTTTCATACACAGGATTGGGCAAAATGTGGATGGGGAGGAAATGGCATAAGAAGAGACAGACAAATGCAAAGGAGATGAAAGATCTCTGTGCTACAAATTCGTAGTTAATTCTGTCACTGGCCACTACATCACTTAAGGCAAATCTGTGATCCTCTGAATTTCTTTCTTTTTTGGACTTTAATCCTCTAATTCTAGAGTCTCTCTTACTGCTTATGATACAGCTGGACATACCAAGAAGGTATGTATTATTCCTTAAAAGATTATTATTATTATCATAAAAGTGATCCTAATTCTCTCCTAGTGATTATTTCTAGTCATCTAAATTTCCTTTTGTGGCAGAGTTGGTGAAAGCAGAGTGTGCTTGAGATCTGTCAGCATAAGAGCCCCCAGCCTCACACAGCAGAGGAGGAAGGGGCAGAGGAAGGTGTGGGGACCCACATGAAGAACCAGAGAGAGAAAGGTGTAAGGGGAAATTCAGACTTCATGTGTTTGAGATCAAGAAAGGTTAAAATCCAGCCTCAAGTAAACACTTTGGAGGATGAATCTGAGCCGAGAGTAACCCGGGGTGTCAAGAGATGTGCAGAAAATTCAAAGGAGGGTAAAGACGTTGTGTGCACCAGGAAAGTAAGAACCAGAAGTCATCGGGACAAGGAAGATATTTAGCCAAGAAATTTAAGAGGGAAAAATTTAATATAGTTTTGTGATAAGTTCTAGTGTAATTTTTGCCATCAATTTGAAAGTGAATTCTGAAAGTAATGCTATCAGTCTGTTTAAGGGAAGAAAATAGACTATTGTGGGTCTCAATGCACTTCAGAAACCCCACGGGGGCTTGTGAAGTGGGTCCCTGGCCTCCTGAAGGGAGACAAGTTGAACCCTGGGGGCGTGGGGGAGTATTTTAGGCCAAGGTTTGCCCTCAGCTTTGCAAACTAAATCCCTGAAGGGCGTCACCCCCCACAGTTGTCTATCTTAGCCTTAACTGCAGCCCTGGCCACCCTGAGTGCAGTTGCTGATGTGTTTACTTGTGTTTTCCTTCAAAACATGAAAGGCAGGAACATCTATCCTTGTTCTGTCCCAACACCGAACAGGTGCTCAGTAAACATTTATGAATGGATGAGTGAATAGACTAATGAAACTCACAAGGCCTGTCTTTACAATGGATGTGGGCTGGCGGGGGGGCGGCACCTTTGGTCCCTGGGCAAAGGCTATCGGTCACCGGCAGAGGACAGTCCAATCCTTGGTGTCCTTGTCCCTTGAGAGAATAAAATTGAGAGTTCAAGGGGAAAAAAAAGTAAATTCTAAATTCAATTATGATGCAAACGAAGCTGTGGCTATAAATTGCAAAGAAAGTTACAAGCATGAATCATAACCATAAATTCAGGTGCACAAGAAATATCGCTTTATTTTCAGAACAAATTAATTTCTATTTCAGGTTGCCATCCTACTGAGCTAATAGGAAGCTTAATCCCCTGCCTTCTTGGAGTCCAACCCTCTCCCCACGCCCTGCTACTCCCCACGAACTTGTGCCACAGTTCTAGAATCTCATGCAGTGTTAAGGTGTCTGGGTGGTGGGCGTGAGAAGGAGGTTTGACTCTTACTGGTCCCCCAGTTCCCGCTGCTGAGGGATACTCACTACCCCTTTCACCTCACTCTTTGAGTCTAGTTTCTCTGCTACTTCTGTATCCAACTGAGTTTGTAGGAGTCTCTGTGAGAATACCAACAGGCACAGCTGCTAAGATACACCAAACAGATCTCTTCTTTCCCCAGGATGCTGCTGCCTTCCTGGCTGCATGCCCAGAAAACAGGGTGCAGATCTCTGCAGCTTCAGAAACTCCAGACCCTGCTGTTCTTCCCATCTCTTCTGCCCAGGCCAGGGACTCTCTTTCTAGTCTCAGACAAGTTCGCTTTATTTATTTTTAGTGCCAGAAGACTCTTTTTCCACATTATAATCCTCTTTCTTTTTCCTCCTCTCAAATAAGGGCTCAAGCATTTAGAAACAGGCTAATAAGACTGCAGATTCTGCCAGCCTACTGTGGCTCATGCCTGTAATCTTAGCACTGGGAGGCGGAGGCAGGAGCATCGCTTGAGGCCAGGAGTTGGAGACCAGCCTGAGTAAGAGCAAGACTCCATCTCTACAAAAAATAGAAAAATTAGCCAGGTGTGGTGGCTCAGTGCCTGTAGTTCCAGCCACTCAGGGAGCCTGAGGCAGAAGGATCTGTTGAACCCAAGAGTTTGAGGTTGCAGTGAGCTATGATGATGCCACTGCACTCTAGCTGGAGTGACAGAGCAAGACTCTGTCTCAAAAAAAAAAAAAAAAAAAAAGACTTCAGATTCTCTCTACCTTCCAACTACAGTGGTGATACTCAAAGAATTTAATAACCAATATGACACAAGCACTGACCAATCAGACCAGATACAGCAACCAGTCAGAACAGCCACCATCCATAAACAACCAGTGTGGCTATCTGGCCGGCACCAGCTAAATGTCACCCTGCAGAATCATGCCCTTCCACAGAGGCATGAACACAGGGTCAGCTGCCTGAACGGGAAGTAGAGAAAGGTGAAACCCAGGGAGGCCAAAAAAATGCACAGATTAACAACTTCATATGTTATCCTTCCACAGAAGAATTTGGGTAGTGTTTTATCATTTATAAAGCACTTTTACAAACATTGAGTTAATGAAAATCCTACCTGGAAAACATAGGAGTTAAAACTCTCAATTCATTTCAATTACATGCATTCATCATATGCAAACACAGGTTGCTGCAGGTGAATAATGGGGTAAGAAACCATTCCTACCCCGAGGAGCTTACATTCTACTAGAGGTTTTAGACCATATACCATTGATCATTGCTGTTCTGGATTTTTTATGTCATGATGGCTAAAACGTATGTGAATGTTTGTTTGCACATATTCCATAAATTTTCAAAGGTTATGTTGACAGAGGCAATATAACATTGCCTTCTCAAATGTCTAAAATCCAAATTCCTCACTCTTTTGCAGAAAATTTCTTGCACTTCATAACACCCTGTCTGTGGCACTACCGTGCTTTAAGTCCTATATGCTAGAAATGTGTATTTATTCTTCCTTCTTCTTCATCCCCAATAAACTCTATGACAGTACAGACTTTGTCCGTTTTCATTAAAGTGCACATACTATATGTTCGAGAAATGTTTGTTTAATGAGTTGATATATTAAGCATTTATTATGAGTTGGAGGATTTTTTTATGTTTATGTTTTATGTTTTTATGTTTATTGTTTTACCAACAACTGTCTTACACAGGTAATGTCATTGTATTAGAATAGGCCAGCTGCTGTAATAAACAAACTCAGTGACTTAATAGAGAATTCGATTTCTCTCTCATGTAACAGTTCAAGACCAGTTATCATCAGGTGTCCATCCACAGGGTGAGTCATGGTCCCAGGTTCCTTTTATCTTGTGGCTCTGCTCTCTCCTTGCTCTCCCAGTATTTTCTCCTGGCTCCTCTGCATCCAGCTCACATGGGGGAGAGCATGGAGGATCATGAAGCTGGTTTTTGTGGGCCAGGCCTGGAAGCAGCATGCATAATTTATGCTCACATTTCATTGGCTAGAACTCAGTCATCTAGCCACACCTAATGCAAAGAAGATTGGGAAATAAAGTCTAGTTGTACTCTAAGGAGGAAAGGGAAATGGCTTTGGAAAATGAGCCATGCAATCATCATTTCTTAGAGAAGGAAGATGAAGCCCAAAGAGGTTTAATTAACTGCTTAGGATCCTACTGTCAGTAAATTATAGGACTGGGATTAGAACTCTGATTGGCCTCCTCCAAAGCTACATTCTTTCTCCGCTATATTACACTGCCTGTGTACACTGCCAAGTCCCATTTCTGAGTCTTCGTTGGAAACTCCCGTGATGATCAACCTTGACTATTCCTTTCCAACTCATTTCCTCATCCTCCCAGCTTTTGTCCTCTCCATCCCTGCTGCTCCCTCCTTCCTCTCAGCCTAAGAACTTACCCAGGTCTCTTTCACCCTTCATTTCTTTCTTATATCCCCCATTAGAGTCTGCCCCCTGCCAACACCACTTACCAAAACTGCTTTAGTAAGTCACAGATTCTTAACCATCCTTCTCTAATATTAGACCATAATTTATAAGAATGAATTGCTGGGCTCTGCACATATATTACCTCATTCACTCCTCAAAAAAGTCATGTTAAGGTATTGTGATTTCCCATATTTTACAGGCGAAGAAACTGAGGCTCAGAAAGGTTACATGGCCCTTGGGGTCACATAGCAGCTAAGCAGCAGAGCTGGACTGGCATCTAGGCTGGATTACTGCCACGCTCCTGTTCCTGCCACACTGCGGCAAGGCCACCACACGGCCCCCACTGGCCCCTCTTTTCCAGGGCTTCTCAAGGAGATTTAAATGCCAAGTTAGACATCCCACCGCCAACAACAAAAAAATCAACCTGGTTTTTTTGGGGGGAGGGGTGAGGTAAGACTTGAGGACAAATATCTGCTAGGGACTAACCCTTGTCTTTAACCTACCCTTACACCTTCTCTCTGAATGGTCTAACTTTGCCAAACAGGTTGTTTAGGCTTGGTGAATGAAAGACAACATGGTGAAAAGGTGGCAAAAATGTGTGATGCCTTTCCCCACCCATCATAAGGTCACAGCCAACACTCTTGTAACAAACGACAGTCTAACAAGAGCAAGCAAACAAACAAACAAAAAAATATACCGTATTTATTTAACCAAAGTTTCAATGACCTGGAGACCTTCAGAAGGAAGGTCCAAAGACCCGAGGGACAACTGTCTGTCTTTCTGCATACATTCAATGAAGAGTGGACAGCAATGTAGACATGTGATTAGACAAAAGAGAATGATCTAATAGTAATAGACTAAGTGGGGAAACCCAGCAAGACCTGTCTTCAGATTATTCTTGGCCTCTCTGTATGGAATTCATTTTTCCCAAGTATGGGGATAGGACCCTTCTAGAATGCAGGTCTTATTAACTACTAGCAGACAGACAGGTCAGAGAATTTCTTTTTGGCAGCTCCTTCACAGAAACGCCTGGGGGGAAGGGTATACTCATTTTTCTAGATTTGATGACTGCTTTGGGGGAGAGGGATTCTAGTTTCTATGACCCACCTGGGAGAGTGGAATTGTAGTTTCTATGGCTTGCCTTGGGGAGAAAGGGGAGCAGGAGAAAGGAGGGTGAGTGAAGGGCAGATAGATCTTGCTCTCGAGGCCCTTTCAGTTCTTTCCCTTCACAGCACTCAGCATGCCCAGGCCCCATACTTTGGAGGATCATGTTCTGAGCCCCAACAATATGCAAGAGACCAAGTGAGCAGTAAGGACATCAAAGCAATGCAATCAAAGAAAATTTGTTAAGATCAGATGGGAGAAAGCTTTGGTTTGATCTTTAATAATGGGTAGGATTTGAATAGCAAGAGGGCCTGGGTAGAGGCATTCCAGGTGAATTCCAGGCACACCACTCTAGTCTAGGTGGGGAGGAGTCAGGAAGAAGTGTGTTAGGAGTAATGGAACATAAGCAGCAGGGGTTCCAGCAGTTCTATGTGGGCCCTGGGGTAGCCATCAGGTTGGAAGGGAGACTGTGAGCTTATCTTGAAGCCAAGCAAGCCTACTGTCTTCACTTAGATTATAAGCTTATCTGGACTAGATTTGAGGGTCAGAGTTAAAGCCTCCCTCCCCTCCCCCAAAAGAACTTACCCCCTACCCCCATGGGTGGGACAGCTGAAATCAGGGAGGCCAGACTATGGAGTACTATGGAGAATAAGCAGAGCAACTGACCCTTGTTCGGGTATGAGAGAGGGAGGCATTGCAGGTTGCAGAGAACAGGAGCACAGGCATTTGGGATGCAACCAATAATTCAGTGACCATCAGTCCCATCCCAGCCTCTTGCCACATGAGCAG